TTTTTTTAACGATAAGTTTATTAGTTGCCAGTATCTTTTTTTGACGACAAAGAATTGACAACAAGGGTAATTTTTTTTTAAAAAACGATTATTTGATAGCTGCCAGTTTTCTTTTGTCATAGAAGATATGCGTTACGGTTTTTTTTAAAACATTATTTTTACTTGTTGCCTTAGAGTTTTTTTTAAGTTATAAATAAAAATTAGTTGCCAGTGTCTTGTTTAGTGTTTTGATGTACTATAATAGACAGGCTAACAGGTCCAAGATCAACTTTGTTAAAAAGTATAATTAAAGCAGTTTTACTTATTTAAGATTATTTTTGTTATTTGAATGCTTAAATTAATAAATGAATTAGATTATTAATGTATTTATGTAATAAAATAATGTTAGATAGTGAATCGGTGTAACAGTTTTTTTGACTATTTTTACTTTATTCTACTAGTAAAAGATATTTTATAAACATTTATTGTGTTTACATGTGTGATATATGTCTATGTGTGCGTACGCTGTAGACGGCTTATTACTGTAATAGAATTAACGATAATTGAATTACTACAACTGAATACTTTCGTACGAGCCTCGAACGAAATAGGTTAAATATTTGACGAGCGTTAATAGAGTGCTTTTGTTCGAAATTAATAGATTACCCTTCGTTACATTCGGTCATCTTCGATTATTCCGTTTATGTACTCGGATGTGTGGTTGTTGAGCATTGGAAACAATTGAAGGTAATATCTAAATCTTTACTTATATTATAAACTAGCTTTCGCCTGCAATTCCGTCCGCGTGAATTAAAAAAAAACAAAAGTGAGCAGCTTACATGTTCTTCCAGACTGTCCTGTAAATCTGTACCAAATTTCGTCGAAATCCGTTCAGCCGTTTAGGCTACAAACTCTAACAAACATCCATCCATCCATCCATACTTTTATAAAAGTATGATAGTATGAAACATGATAGGATAGATTTGTACTTTTTATGTATTGAAATAACTCAAAAACTACTGGGCCTATTTCAAACGTTCTTTCAGCAATAAATAGCTAAGTTATCACTGAGGTAGTTACATACGCTATATTATAACAATTTTTATTTCCGCGCGGACAAAGACGCCTGCAACTACTACTGATATGTGAAATGTTTGTTTCTTTGTAATGTCCATAAGATATTATCACATTAAATAGATTTGTAGTCAGTTATGACTTTTTAAATTAATTTCTCATTATACAAGGTTTCGTCCCAATAGTTTAATAATAAATTCGTCTAAGGTTTTAATTTGTTATGACGCTGATAGCCTTACATATTTGCTAACAATTTTTTATCGACGTGTTCCTGTAGTATAAACACCTAAGGAACAGCTAATCCATTAAAGCTGCCACAATATAATCGATATGTCTACTTCATGCAACTATCTATCGATGGTACTCAAGAGTACAGATAATATAAAACCAAACGGTACTGTCAGTTGTTAGATAAACACATTAAAAGGAACTGCTCTAAAATAATAGTAATCTGCCCCAACTTCTGGACGGTCTTATATTTTTTCTGTCATAAAAATCCTCTTTATTGTAATATAGTTCATGTTATTCGGAATTAATGTTTCTTTCGAAACGCGGTTAAAATTTTGAAACCTGTTCAGTAGTTTCGGAGCCTACTCTATACTCTTTGTAATAATAGACAACTGTGTATAGCATATGTAGCAAAGTATATAGCAAATGTAGCATTGGTTTTCATTGCTTGTTATTAAATGATAGATTATTTTTTTAATTACTTGCTGTATTTTGTCTCTTCGTTCAGTGCAACAACATAAATGTTTTAGATAATTAAATGAGTGGCGTGTTTCAGATTGCCTGTCTTCAAATCCCCAGTATCGCTGTTGCTGAAACAAGTTTATAGGGAAGTGGAAATAAACGTGAGTAAATTCTGAAGAACTATATCATTGTACTAGCGTAGTCAATTGTTTGATGGTTAAATGCTGGGTTGCTGGAGTTTCCGTATATTGTATCAATAGCTTTCGCCCGCGTCTTCGTTCGCGTGGTATTAATATAAACAAAAGTGTAGATTATGTGATCTTCCAGAGTGTCCTCTACGTCTATGCCGAATTTCATCGAGTTCCGTTCAGCCGTTTATGCTGCAAACTCTAACAAACGTCCATCTAAACTTTCGCATTTATAATACTAGTTTTTCCTGCTACTCTGTTCACGGGGAATTAAAAAAATACAAAATCGAGTAGCCTATGTGTTCTTCCAGGCTATATTCTACGTCAATACCAAGTTTCATCCTGATCCGTTCAACCGTTTAGGCTACAAACTCTTAAACTAACTTAAACTTTCGCATTTATAATATTAGTATGATTAGGAAGTAAGATTACCTAGTGATTGATTAGTGGTAGGTTAAACTAAATTTCAAAGAAGTAAAACTTAAGTAACGTAGTTCGGAAACGCATTTCAACAATTTATCGAACCAAAATCATTAACGAATGATTAAAAGTAGTTGAGAGATGTTTAATTTAACCAATATCTACAGTTTTAAGTATTTAAGTGATGTTAAAATGTAGATTTAAGTATTATATTTGTTTATATTATGTATGGGAATGAAGTCGTTCAAGTTCTATTATATCGATTATTGAAGTACGTGAAGACTAATCCATCTCAGCTCATTATATTTACATAATGTTTTATATACTAACAATGTTCTTGTTTATATATTTACTATACGTGAATGTGATAGTGTTTTGAATAACTTTACGTGTATTTTTAAACTAGCTTTCGCCCGCGACTCCGCCCGCGTGGTATTAAAAAAACCAAGTAGGCTATGTGTTCTTCCAGACTATCCTCTACCTGTATGCCAAATTTAATTGAGATCCGTTCAGCAGTTTAGGCTACAAACTCTAAAATACATCCATCTAAACTTTCACATTTATAACGTTAGCATCAGTATGATAAGTCGATCGGTCAAGGATTAGGACAGAAATAAGTAGAGACAACAAAACAAGTAATAAAAATATATTTCTTTGTTTTGTCTTTAGAAAATTCTTCAACACATCGCATATTTAACATAGGTCTTTGAAGCTTAAAATTGAATTCTTTTAAATTATACCTACTTAAATTATGTAATAAACGTATAGTTACTTATTAAAATTTAGATATTCCTTGATTATTATTTATTCTCTTAACATGAATATAACAAAGTTTCCCCGGAAAATTCAATCATGATCGAATTACCTGATCTCTTTTTCCCAGTAACAATAAACTTCCAAGATCGTGTTTAACGAGTCACTTCACGTTTACAGCACCTCGTGAAATTCGGATAACGACGTGAATTTACGAGGTTTACGCTTCAGTAATTGATAGGTTTTTTAACACGCGATATAAAGGATCAACCTAATTAAATGTACCATGAATATAAGATTTATAATTCCCCTTTTTTAAGCATACACTACTTTTAGAGCCTAATCTATATGTTTGTGTTTGGGAATATTATTAAAATGTACCAATAAAATGTATATTAAAATATTATAGACATTTAAACCTCTAGAAGTGACAATACGTTCATATTAAACTGTAACAAGGAACACATGCCGAGGGCTTCAATTACACTAATCGGTGTCGGGTCAAGAGCCGTCGAGCGGTCGAATGCGGTGTCACCCTTGTTATGTCTCATCCAGTTTATTAAGTGACTAATTCATTGTACAGATTTATTCCTTTTATAAAGCCAGCTACACACCTTAACTGCACTGCTAAAACTGTGTGTGTAGATACTTACCTGTACAGTTCAATTGGCTGTCTATATCTATCTATGCTATTATAATAAAGCGTAAACACACATTTCTTTGTTGCCTAAGATGTCAGCAATTACAGCATATTTTTCAATAATTTTTTTTTTAATAAAAAGACCTACACTTACGTCACCCTTTAGGCTGTATATTTTTACGCTATTAAACTTAGGGGGTAAATATTTTGGATAAAAACCCTAACGTGGGAAAGAGACCATTACTTGCTGCCAACATCAAGGAAGCAAGATTGCCATAGTAAGGTAATTGGTATTTTGACATCTACTATGGATAATTTGACAAATGTAAACAACAAAGTAAAATTTTCATAATTTTGTAAGCACGGAAACAGCTAGTTGTTAATAAAATATTAGCACTATTTAATTCGAGAAGACGTTTTGGAACTAAAAAATAAATAAGGTTTGTATTAGCGTCTTTACACAAAATCTCATTTTGGGATATGAACAACGAAGCACGTTGTGTCGTAAAACAGACACTTTTAAAATTACTCCCGTTCCATCTACTTTGTACCGATTCCTTTTATTAAAATTACTAGTTTTCGCCCGCGACTCCGTCCGCGTGGATTTAAAAAAAAAACAAAAGTGAAGCCTATGTGTTCTTCCAGACTATCCTCTTCATCTATACCAAATTTTATCAAAATCCGTTCAGCTGTTTAGGCTACAAACTCTAACAAACATCCATCCATCTAAACTTTCGCATTTATAATATTAGTATGATAGTATGATTGAAAATTTACTTGAAATTTTTATTTGGAATTGACTTCTACGAAAGTAAATAATAATCATATTATAGTTTTATGTGATTAGTGAATCTTACTAATTATAAATGCGATAGTTTAGATGGATGGATTGGAATTTGTTAATTTTACAGCCTAAACGACTGAACGGATCTAAATGAAATTATTTAGAGATGTAGAGCATAGTCTGGAAGAACACATAGGCTACTTACTTTCGTTTCATCGAATTCCAACGAACGTATACGCGGGCAACAGTTAGTAATTATTAAAAAAAAACAATTATGCATTGTTAAATGTAAAGTAACTCTGGAAAAACAATATATTACACCAGACTTAACTAGTAAAACATTCCAGATTAAATTAAAAAAAAAACTGTACTACTTTAAAATAGTAACAACTTCAGAGAAAACTTGTTTAAGTTCAAGTTACATCTTAGAAATTCGATCTCAGGAATGATATTACATCTTGTATCTAGTTTAGAATCCATTTTAAGTTTTGTACATTCTTATAACTGGCATGATGTCCGTACGTGCTCGCTTCTGAAAACAGTAAACACGTCGCTTCTGCAGATGGTAATCGTAATTCTTACAATGTGCCATATAGTAAACAAACAACAAGCGAAAACTAACTCTATGTACTACCAAGAAGATATGTTTTCACTTGCATTTTTGTATAGTGATTCGAATAAACATTCCACAAATTTAAAACAATGTAAGATGATCCCTATTGTCCTATTGTTTAGAGTCAAATTCAAACGTGTTCGTGGAGAGCGTGTTTCGAAACGTATCCATCTTTATGTTTCGTAGAGTAATTTATTTAACCTTTTGATAGCAGGTGAACAGAAAACAGCAATTACGAACTTGTACATATTTTTAACTTAGTGTATCTAAAAAAAAATACCATACACAAGTCTTATACAATGCAAAATTACAGTTGCAACTGTCTAAATATTCATAACTCTATGTTTTGAATCATTTTTGTAACGAGTTCACAGTTAAAGTGGTCTCTTAACTCTTAATTGACTAAGAAATCCTCATTTGACCTCACGATGTCCCAATCCCTGGTGACAATCAAAGAGTAAATGACCTGGGACATTACTATAAATGAAGATGGTCCCCCGATGGGTCCGAACCTAGTAGTTACTACTAGTACTACTACTAGCATTATAAACAGTAACTACCTGGCATATAACATTCATAATAAATTATCGAGTCTATTTAATTCTCCTTAATTGACATTTAATTTAATTTAACGTCCCATTGTCGCATTTCTGCCAATACTTCAATGACCATGATACCATTGAAATAAATAGTCATTATAAAAAGTCTATTCGTACCTGCAACTCAGAACAGTAGGTAAAATAGGAACTTCCATTTGTCCTGGCACTTCTACGGTTACCTTCACAATGTCAAATTACCAACAAGTTCGCTACAGAATAAAAAGTAATTACTTACTAATAATTTAAATGCATACGTTTCGATCTATGGATGTTTGTTAGAAGGCTAAAATGATCTCGAGTAAATTTTTCACAGATATAAACTAAAAGAACACAATGGCTACTTGGTAAAGTAACATTTTAAGGCACATACCATTTCGCGGGCATAAGCTACATAAGGAAACTGTAAAGTAACAAAAACATAATTTAAATTTTTATTACGAGTAACTTAAAAAGTGCTCTCATATTCTGTATCCGACAAAGTATGTAAAAAAATTCCCTGTATAAAGAAGCGGAATTTATAATAAGTTAAATTCTTCATCTTAATAACATTGTAAAATAATTCTGAAAACATTTTCGTTATTTTAATAAAGCTACAAGGACGTTTTCAGAAACACACAATAGCAGCTCGAGTTTTAACAAAATGTACAAATAAAACAAGCAGAAAGTTATGAAATATTTACTGAAATAAATAGTTGCAAATAAATAAAAAAAAGTAAAATTCCTGTGATGTATTTCGTGACGTTATTGTAATTTAAATTTCATCATTGTTTTGAAATTTCGAAAAAAAAAATCATGTAGTTATCAATAATTTTAGTTTAACTACGTACCAAAGAAAAACCTATATACCTAATATATTTTTATCCATAGAAAGATATGTATATGTCAGAAACATTATTAAATATATTCTTTGCCAGCCAGGTAAAACAGGGGCGGAATACTAGTTCTATAAACATACCGAACTTCGTTAAATTCCAACTCTTTCAAAGCTTTATATTGCTGTTTTATCTTTGTATTTAATACGGGGGCCGTGTTCAAGAAATTTATGCAAATCCCAAGCAAACTTATTCCGGGCCAGAGTAATAACGAGGCTTTGTATGAAGCATTGCTTCTCATGTGTTTAAGAATTATTCTATCTCGTAAATGTGTATTATTCCGGCCATTGTG